AAGTGGTGTCGCGGGGGCCGTGTAATCGCGTAAAGTGGTTTTCCCTCGCCATTCCTCTTTTGCCGCAGCCACCCCTGCACGCAGCCGACGATGGAGCACACTTGACTTTCCCCGACGAATGAAGGTTTGAGCGAAGGGCCAGGAATTGCGAGGCATCCGACTAGCGCACCCACTGACATGCAAGTACTATCGGCCATTTGCACTCGCAGGCAGAATTGACTCGTCAATTGAGCTGCGCAGCTCTGGCGATGCTGGGGTCACTCTGGGCCGGTCAGGAAAGGCCGTGATGCAAGATCCAGGAACGCCCGCGGACCACTTGGAAACGCAACAGGGATCTAAATGGGATGAGACACACGAGTGGTAAGGGTGTGTGACTCATACTTTGAGTAAGGTAAGATGGATACATTAGCTGAGAAATGGAGGGGGTTGGGCCCATTGGCTGCGTCCATGTTGCAGCTTCAATTTGGCACTATTCATTGGCGGCCCTCCCGGATCGAGTCGTCAAACAAGAAAAAGCTGGACCGCACCATGTGTGGTCGACGAACGCTTGTTACGACGCATGATGCCTGCCGATGCCTGGTTCTCGGCATGTTTGGTTTGGTTGTCGCACCTGGGTGTTGTGCTAGGAACCGACTGGCTAGATTGTTGAGGCTTGCGTTGACGGACTGATGCGATGCAAGATGCGGCGAATATTTGCAAACAAAGTTCGAGCCTCGAGGGCCGACTCAGAGCCCCCTAGATTCGCTCGTCGATCAATCACTTGCTCCCAATTCCGGGCTCGTGTTTGATCGGGTTGGATGTCGGGTACTGGCGGTGGGAAGAAGCATCGGAAGAGGGGTCAATCGAGATATTGGTAGAGCTTGACAATTGACGACTGAATTGACCATTTGGCGAGTAAAAGCAACTTCAAGACCGCGAGAAATTGTACAAAAATCGATTGATGCACATTGAACCCGTTTAAATGGCGTAACAGGTCTCTTCGGGCTTCCGCGTTGCCATGGCGAGGCGCGATGAAGTTGGAGGGCATGAGATGAAGTGGTCGGGCGACGCGTTTCCGTGAACCTGGGGCGACGCACTGTGGCACTACACTGTAAGCCAATGTCGCGAGATTTCACGCTACCACGTGATGTGGAGCGATACGTTCCCGTTGCTGCCTGAGAGTTGCCTGGCGTGCCGACAGGGTGGTGGTCGGCTGCAGCACCGCCAGTACGACTTTGGAAGCTGTTTGAGGTCCAAGTTCTCCACGCCGAGCCCAGACGCCGGGAGCTGCAGCACCAGAGTTAAAGCGGCGGTGGTGGACGCGGATGAGCTGTCCTTGGCTGGCGCAAGCGCCCCTTTCCAGTCGCTATCGCGAGCTTCCGATGAAGCTTTCCGTTGCTCAAGAAGATGATCATCGTAGCACCTAGCAAACGGCGCGCGTCGCCGGTACTCTTCGCACAAGTAGCTTCGCCGCTCTACCGCTCTGCTTCGGCGGGTATGGCTTCAAGCGCGGACAAGACAGATCGCCGTGTATGCATCCCGAGGACGATCTCCCTCGAGACCGCGAGGACGCACAAGTAGCCACGCCATTATTCCGCGTGTCTCAGCCAGAGACCTGTCAGAATTATCATGACAGAAAGCTCACTATCATATATCGAGTTGTCTTGGACGGTGGTGCCTCGAAGGGGGCGGCAGGCGGCGTCTTCCTGTCTCAAACGGCGTGGACCTGTGCATGGCCCGACGCACAGGCTGCCCGTTGAGAGGGAGAGAAAGAGAGAGAGGCACAAGGGCAGGAAACAGACATCAGGTCTTGTTGCACTTATGAACCCCCATTAATGTGTCTGGAGGCCCTCCGCCAAAATTTCCATGATTTTGCATGTTTCTCAAGTCTGCTCACCTATCTAAATGTAAGTAGGTCCGGGCTTGGAAGGGCATTTTAGACGCTCTACCACGGCCATCCAGATTCCCCTCTCGCTGGTCCGTTCTGATGGTCCGGGTTAGAAGGCTAAACCTCGGCTATGCACGGATCATCTACTCCTCTCGCCCTCTATCATCGATGTCTCCGGCCCGTCGCGTCCTGACGCTTCTCGCACCTCGAGGCCCGACTAAAGATCCAAAGGAAGCTCATAAATGGAATGAATGACCCCTTTCCAACCCTTCGACGTCTTTACCTAGCATCTAGAGCCCTTGTAGCGTCGAAACAGATGAGATGCAGCTAAGGTTCCCTTCGGTCAATTGTTAGGCCGAGACCACGTGACCCACCCGTTTTGGCGTAGCTGGCACGGGCGCCCCAACATCTGCCCCAGTTTCAATCTCAGCTCCGTCGCTCTGTCGCCGCTCACTACCAATTTTCTCATTTGATCGAGTAGAGCTGTTAAGACTACTAGCACCTGGGTCTCCATCCATCAGTATAAGTCGCGAATATCATCGTCGCATATCGCCCATAGCCTTCCGTCAATCGCAATGAATAAGAATTGGAATGATAGGGCCGACAAGGACCTCTTCTTCACCATCTTGTCTGTGAAGAACATTGGCGTCATCTCCGGCTCGGAATGGACAACCATCGGCAACCACATGCGTACCTTGGGCTACGGCTTCACCAATGAAGGGTGTCGGTAAGTCAAAGTTTCCTTTGCATCTCAATTCTTTCATGCCCCGGACCGACTGGTGGCTTTCTTTTGTCCTTCGACTTCTCTCCCATTATCGCGCAATGCTATCTCTCGTCGGCTTGCCTCCAGAGGGATTTATCGTGCTCGAGGCGACGGAAATGTGCCTTCCCTGTCTACCGAGGTCTCTCTCATGCAGTGTATGAGGATGTGATTGACAACCCAACGCACAGTGGTGTATTACATACGACGATGGTCGCTATGCCCCTAATTTTGTCCTTCTCTCTTCTCAACAACAATCGAGGTGCTTGCTGCCTACGTTGACCACCACTGACGGGTCTCAGCCAACATTTCCAAGGACTCCGCCGCGCTCAACACAAGGCCGAGTCCAACGGAGGAAGCTCGGACAACCCAAGGAAAGTTGATCCAACGATGAACCCCATCACTCGGCGTCCCGGACCGGGTCGTGGCAGACCCAAGAAGCAACCTCAACCACCTGCACCGATGCCCATCCCCCCACTGCCGGGCCAGGTTGTTCAGCCTGGCCAAGTGCCTCAGCCTGGCCAACCTCAACCGGATCAAGTTACGCAGGCCGACCAACCGCTGCCACCTCCTACTGCGCTCTCTGATGGCCTCCAATCTCTGCCTGAGTCGATAGATCTGCCCCTCAAAGACGACAGCCTGGACATGTCTCTCAAGGATGACGACGACAATGAAGAGACCGAGGAACACGATGCCAAACGCATTAAGCTTGACAACCCACCCCAGGACCAAACTCTCGATGATGAAGCAGTATTAGCTCTCGCCGCTCACAGCAACAATTCTTCTGTGGATGCCTACGCCTCCGAGTATCCTACGGCTGGTTTGACCGGGTCAGACCCACACCCCTACAGCTTCCCCGGCGAAACATAGGAAGGCTGCAATTGCAATCGTTGTCGAGGAAAACCGACACCGTTCTGGACAACACTCCTTCTGGGAAGAGTTGATGCTATTCCTAGGCTGAACTTTCCCGGATCTGTCGAACAAAGTCATGGCGTTATGCATGGGAGCGAGCGCGGCATCAGGAGCGAGGGTTAACTGAACACGATGGGCGCTTTTGGAGTTGACTGGGTGCTGCTTTCGGTGTACTTACTGATTTTATGCGTCTTGATGCCACGAGAGTTGTGGTTTTGCTAGTGGCGAGGATTATTCAGGTACAGAGCTGCCACAGGGCATGCTAGTTGATAATTCCGAACGTTTTGATTTTCCTTGCAAAATCCCACGCAAAGTTTCTTATGAAGTAGTCCAGCTTATTGTATACCAGTGGCCAACGGTGTCTCTGAGGTACTGGTGTGGAGTACCACTTCCTGTCGAGTGCTATTGACCTGCAATCTGAAACAGTTACGACTCTCATCTTGAGATGGATTTGATGAGGAGCCTAGAAGTGGGACGAGAGTGCTGGTCAGAGGCAGATGGAGCCGAAGTCAGAAGAGAAGGCATCAGAAACAACAGCGGAGAACATGAATTATGCGCCTGTGGTGATGCAGAGAAACTTGGACGATCTCGACCTCGATCTTCACCTTTGTGGCAGCTTGGCTTCCTATGTCTTCGTGCAGGTGGGTGAATGGTTTGGTTCAGCCAAGCACCACCACTTGTCAAAGCCAACCGCTGAGACCCGCGTCAAGCTGTCATTCTTCTAGAAGGAGGCTCATTTCTTCCCTCCCATTCCACCCCTTCCCGCTACATCTGACCCAGGGGCACCGGCCTTTTTCTTCCTACCTAGCTACCATACTACAGCCTTCAATTCTCCATCAACCATCTACATCACCACTTCTAGCTTTCACTCTCACTTTCCGCGCCCCGTACAGCAACCACCACCACGAGCAATCGCCACGCAAACCAACAACATGTCTGAGAAGGGCGGCCGCTGGAATAACGAGGAGTTCGTTACGAGCCTCATGATGTCCTTCTACAACGAGTTGAAGGGAGACGGCCTCTCCAAGGAGAAGAAGGACGCCATCGAGGTTCGTCTCCGCGGGCAGGGCTTCGAGGATGTCACCTGGAACGGCATTCGGTAGGTACCTTTTCTGATCATTATTCTTGTTCTTTGTTTTTCGACGAGACTGCCTATTCTTCCTGTGCTGGACCGACTACTTTTTCTGTTTGTTTTTTCCGCCTTGCTGTCGTCCTCGTCGCTACTATCGCCGTCGTTATCGCCGCCGTCGTCGCTCGTCGTCGCTTGTCGTCGTCTCTTTCCTGGTAGCTTCTGGTCTAGTGCTCCAAGCTCTTCCCTTATCTCACGGTTCGACTTTGCTCTATTTTACGAGCATTTGTCTTCTTCCCACACAACTTTCTCGCCTCGTCCTCTCTTCTCTCTCCCATATACCTCTCGCATCAACCCCAAAGTACATCAACATATTCAACAACGAAGTCACAATGGCCGACAAGTCTGGCAAATGGAACAACCCAGTCCTCCTCGAGTCTTTGGTGATGGCTTTCCACGGCCTTGCCAAGTCAGCAGACGGTCTCACAAAGGAGTCCAAGGACGCGGTCGTCGCCAAAGCCCACATCTGGGGCTTCACCGACATGACTTGGGAAGGCATTAGGTATTTATGCTCCTGCCTTGTTCTTTGCTTTGCTTTGCTTTTATTTGTCTCCTAGTTTTATTCCCCCAGCCTCCTTGACGCAACTTCTCCTCTCTCAACTTTCTCTCTTGTCGATCCCCCTTACTCATCATCTCGCTCGTCTTCATCTTCCTTCATCACAAGATTATTCCAAATCGCCACGATGTCTCGTCACTATCAGAAGTGGACTCCCGAGATCGACCAGCAAATTCTTGCTGCCATGGTCAAGGTGATGATTCCGACCGCCGAGCAATACAATGCCATCATGGAGGAACTCGAGCCTTGCGGATATGGCTTCACCGCCATCACCATGAAGTGAGGATCTCCTTCCCATTTTCGAGGTTCCTGCCTGCCTACTGCACCTGATCGCTCCCCTCTGCTGATTTCTATTTATACTCTCCTCTTCCTCACCTCCACTTCTCCTCTTCCTCTTCCAAACACAACACCATCGCACTTCCACCTTTTCACAACATTACCTGACCTCACAAAAAACATTTCACTTCACCCCATACATTCTCATCCACCAACCCAAATACAACACATCATGGCACCTGTTACCATCTGGGATGATAAGGCTCATGCCGATCTCCTCATCGCCTTGCTGCCAGTGGTGAAGCCAACCAAGGACCAGTGGGACGAGGTCTTGGCCAATGTCCGGGCGAAAGGATACAACTACACCGCCGGAGCTGTCGTGTACTCACCTTCTGCTTCTTCTCGACGCATATCAGATCCGTGCTAACCTCCGTTCATAGGCAGCATCTGCAGAAGCTTCAGAAGAAGGAGGCCACCGTCGCTGCCGAGAACGGTGAGGGCAACGACGCCTCTGCCGCCTCCACCCCCAAGGCCAAGAAGACCGCTACCCCTCGCAAGCGCAAGACTCCTTCCAAGAAGGTCAAGGCCGAGGAGGACGATGACGAGGGGGAGGAGAAGCCGGCCAAGAAGCCCAAGGCTCCTCCCCGCCCCGAGTAAGTTGCAACTTCCCATGATTCACGTCTGCCACTCCCCAACTGTCGTGCTGACAACATCTTGTAAACAGCTTCAAGGAGGTTAACGAAGCCGAGGCCGCTGAGGAGCTCGCCGAATGGCAGTCCGTTAAGGCTGATATCTAAGCCGACAGCATGATTCACACCGACCGACTGGAAAAGGATATTCGGGGAAGGAGAGGCAGGAAACTGAATATACTGGCCATTGGGGGATAGTGAAACTTCTGGATGACTTGGAGGGAATCTTTGGTTGCTCGCTTGGACTGAAGACTTGGCTGCGAAATTGCATACGGACTCGAAATCATCTTAGAGTCTACAATCACATCGGAAATGAGAAACATGGATGCTTTCTCCTACCCTTCTATGAAGTACACTCGCTGCTGATATTTATCTAATCTGATGACGACTTTTCTTACATCTCAGCTATCCAAGCGGATACGTCTGGCTGAGCGGGACCTTTCCAGTACTCCTATAATGGTCGTTTCGATCATTCATATCACTCGCCCTCATACATCATCCGTTGGTCTACCTGCCAGATTACGGATTTGTTTCCCCCACTAAGTCCTTTGACCTTGCTGCTTTTCACTGCCTTGTTGCTAACATCTTTTAGACATGACAGACAATGTACATGTGCGTGAGCCCCCGCGTGTCTGCCCACACTGCATCCCTCACCGCGCCCCCTTTTCTCACTCATCACCGGGACAATATGTGCTTGACGACTCATCAGTCTCCGCTCTCTCACAAACTGCTCAAGGCGAGTCCAGTCTAGCCTAGCCCTTTACCTCCTTCCCTATTTTTCGGTTGACTCGGACTCGGCTCGAGGCTACTTATTTCTGTTCTCGTCGGCGGCTCTCGAAACTTTCTCTTCTTCCTCCACACAACAACAACCTCGCGACAACCGCCCAACCTTGCTTCACACAACACAACACACAACACAAACCACATTAGCACTACTCATCATGGTTCCCAAGGCTTGGACCGTTGAGGCCGATCTCGACGCCATCTTTGCGACCGCTTTTCAGAACGTCCCCAACGCCCCCATGGGCGGCATCAATTGGGATCGTGCCCACCAGATCATGACCGGACTGGGCTACAAGTTCAGCAAGGACGCCATTAAGTAAGTTTTATTCTCATTCCTGGTTTCGTTGTCTTCGTCCTACTCGTCACTCCTCGTCTCTGCTCGTCTCTCCTCGTCTCTCCTCGTTTCTCCTCGTCTCTCCTCGTCGTCTCTCCTCGTCGTCTCTGCTCGTCGTCTCTTGTCCTTGTCTCTTGTCCTTGTCTCTTGTCCTTGTCTCTTGTCCTTGTCTCTTGTCCTTGCCTCTCGTTCTCGTCGTCCTCGTCCCTCTTCCTCGTCCCTCTTCCTCGTCCCTCTTCCTCGTTCCTCTTCGTTGTCTTCATGTCTTCCCTGTCTTCGTTGTCTTCGTCTTTCCCCCTTCTTCGTCCGCCACCTTGAAAACCCTCACTAACGCTTCCAAACAGCCAGCGCTGGTCCAAGGTCATCAACAAGAATGCCAAGCAGCGTGTCAACCAGGGCATAAGAAACGTCGCCAACGGCAACGTCGCTCCTGCTACCCCTACCTCCGCCCGCGGCAAGCGTTCTCGCCCTGCCCCTTCTTCCGGCGCTCGCGCCAATCAGGCCACCGCCCAGATGGCTCGCGCTGCCCGTGCTACTGACGATGGCGGCGACGACTCTAAGGAGGACCTCGACGTGAAGCGCCCTGCCAAGCGCCAGGTCCCTGCCGGCGGCCTCGCTGCTGGCCTCAACGGCCAGAAGATCGATCTCACTAACGACAACAATCACGATGACGAGGTCCAGTTCGTCCAGAACGTCGACCAGGCCCCCGTCAAGACCGAAATCAAGGACGGTGAGGACAAGAAGACGATCATGTCCGCTGTCCTTCATGACGTTCGTAAGCATGACATTCGTGAGCGCAGGCAAGTACCCCTCCTCCCCTTGCGCTCCTAGACCCGTGTTCGATTAAGTGTAAATCTAACAGGCAATAGCTCCACGCTCGCTCCTTCCGTCGCCCATGCCTTCGTCAAGGTTAAGAAGCAGGAGGTTGACCCCTCCGACTCCGACGCCCAGGGCTATCTCGATGGCGAGGTCTAGGTCACCATGGAAGCTGACATCGCCACCACCAAGACCCGCTGCTCTGAGGACCTCCTTGAGGGCCAGGAGGTCGAGATGGAGGGCATGTAAGCTGCTCTTTACGCAGCAACTTACACAACTCTACATTCGACATTCGAACTTCTCAACATGGCGGTGAAATGGTTTTGGCAAGCTTGCTAGCATTGGTTTGGCACTTTTCTGGTTCTTCTGGGTGTCCGCGTTTTCTTTCTCGGCCATTTCAGGACTGCGTGGTTAGTTTCCGTCTTTCCCTAAAGGACTGGCACTCTTCTTGGTCTCGGTTGGTAGCGGTTGCGAGCTCGGGATCGGCAACGGGAGAGCATCAGGGTGTTGACAAATGGGTGGCAAAAGCTTCTTTTCGCTTTGGGATTTCTGTGAACAGGACAGGACGCTTTCTGAATCGCGTATAGCTCTGAGCTTGCTATTTCTGCTTGCTTTTTCTAGATAGAGCCGAAGACACGCATTGACATATCATGATTTGGTTTATGCCGTGATATAACGAGAACCAGATCACTAGCAATAAGGCGACGCCCTAACCACCATGACAACGCACCGCCACCCTGTTTGAAATCCGATTCATTCTTCTCGTGGACCCTGGTCCGTAGCTGACTGTCCTTCGTGATGCCTTTGTAATTACAACGATGCGCCCTGAATGACACCTGACCGTATCCCCGAACGCCGACCCGCCCAAATTATGAGAATCCAGGCCAAAGACTCATTTTAAAAGCATCCATTCTAAGGCTTGCGGCCATCCAATCTCTGACCCTCGTTGGGCCCCTTCTTCTCAGGCGCCTTTGGCTTGTCCTCACCCTCACCCTTGCGCTTGCCCCTGAGAGTTTGACCTGAGCCCGCAAAGTGAGGACGGTTGGCATCCTCCTTCTCGCGCTCCTTGTCGGCGTCAGTCTTCACAGGCTTGATCTCGTAGCCAAAGAAGAGCTTGTTAGGAGGCAGGCGCAGAGGCATCGGGCCGTTCGTCCGACGGGGAAGGGGGGGAACGGCTGGGGCGTTGGCGGAGGCACCGGCAACAGGGGTGGCGGGCTTCGGTGTCGACGCCTTACTACCCTTCTTGTTGAGCTTCTGACCCTCACCGTAGAAGTTGGTATTGGTCGTCGTCGCGGAGGGCGCGATGGCGTTGTAGTTGATGGACTGAGCCATGCTACCCTGGCTGTGAAGAAGGCCGCCGGCCGGGAGGCCGCCTCCACGGACGCTGCGAGGGGTGCTCGTGCCGCTGCCGCGCTGCTGCTTCTCGGGCTCGACGTAGCCGACGGGCGGGGCGAAGTCAACCTCGACATCAGTTTCGATCATGCAAACACCCATCTTATCCGTCTCGGGCTTGACCTCTAGAACGGCCACGTGATAGATCTCGTCGTTATACTCAAAGTTGAAAATGTCACCCTTGGTGAGCGTGGCGAAGTTCCTAAACGCCTTCTCCAGCACGGCCTTGGGATCGCTGATGTCGAGGAAGTTGGTAGATTGCGGCTGAAGCTTGACCAGTCGTGCGAGCTCGAGAGAGGTTGTCTTGACCTGGATCATATCGCCGACATCGAGCTGGAGGGTCTCCATCATCTATGTCTCACGTTAGCAACCCTGCCGCCGGTGCGAAGCGGACTCCACGAACCCATTGAGGGAGGTAAGCCCTGCCCTCCTCCGCGACGAACTCCAACACACCGGAGTGGGAGTGCTTTCCCTTCTCGCCGTTTATAATCTCCATCAGCAGCGGCCACTGTACGTGGAGCTTCGAGACCTTGTCGAGCGCAGAGGGAGGCAGGAAGATCTTGGAACCATAGTTGAGTTCGGGGCGTTCGGCGCCAGGGGCCATAACCATGGGGTAGCATCGGTAGTACTCGTCGAAACGCTGGACGATAGGGCGGCGCCCGCCGCGGGCGAAGTTGTACATGTCGGCTTCGCTGGGGTCGAAGCGATACTGGAAGCTCGAGGTTAGCTTGGGTCTGAGAGTGGTGAACAGCACACCAGGGTAACTCACCATCTTTGGCGGTCGGTCGGTCGGAAGATGTAAGGTCTGGTTGATAGGGTGGAGGAAAGCGGAAGTTCCGAGAGACCGAGAGGTGAAGTAGGCAAAGGAAGCTTGCCCTGGCAGTAGTGATTTGGTAGGCAGAGGAGATAGCTCTGGCTTTGAAGAAGATGAGTGATGGAGGTCGGTGGACGTGGGGCCGAAGGCAACTGAATGACGAAACCCCCACTAAAAAGTGACTTCCTGCGTCGCTGTCGTCCGTTATCGTCGTCCGCTGTCGTTGTCCGCTATCTTCCTCTCTAATTACCTTAATAATTGTCATTATCGCCGCTATATTACTTATTGCTAATACTTATTACTATGCTCGTTTTTACTGTAAATCATAGTCGTCCTTGATTAAAGTAGAACTTCAAATTTAAAGTATCAAGTACCTTACACAGGAAGCGTGAACGCAGGGAAGCTCAGAGAGGTTCCACTAAAAGTCGCCAAACTCAAGACCCCAGACGGTACATTTAAGCACATGCAAACTGAGCGGACGAGAAGGTACCCACCCGTTCTTTGATGTCTTTAGCTCAGGTACCGTCAAGCTGCATCCACCTGCGAAGCTTCTTAAGAACACGCCCAGCCGACATGACCTTTCTCTAAAACATTCTCGACATTCCACGAAGGAGACATACTACCAGACAGAAAGATGTCGTCAAGACACTCAGCAGCGCGCCCGAAACGCGCCGGCGAGACGTTCGCGCGAACGCATCACCACGACGACGACGAAGCCCATGACTCCAAGAAGCTCAAGTTCGACGTGCGCAACCCCTCAGCACTGGCCCCCGACGCGCCAGAAGAAGATGCGATTCTCGACGCCGACGTCATCGGTGCCGGTGCCGGCGCCACGAAACGCGGCGCAGTGAACCTGGACGGCTACGACAGCGATTCAGACAACGAGCGCAACTTCAAGGGTCGCGCGGAGGAGCGGCACCGTGGGAAGAAGGGCGACGTGAACTTTCTGGACCAGCTGGACAAATACGA